AAGATGCATGCCGGATCCAAAAATCTACCGAAAAAATCTCAACATGAAAAAAAATGAAAAAAAATGAAAAAAAATGAAAAAAAAAGGAAAAAAATGGGAAAGGAAGGGGAAGGAGGAGGGGAAGGGGAGGTGGAGGAACCTAAAAAAACCCCCCTAAGTCCCAGATGAATTTTTCTCTTTTCTGTTCAATGCTGAAACTTTTTTATGTTTTTTAGTGTTCCCTCACACCAATTCCCAAAACCAACACTCGAATGAAATGAGGTCAACGTTGAAATTTTCACAACGAGAAAAAATTACTGGGACTTAGTTAAAATTTTTAACTTTGTCCCAATAAAATTTTCTCGTTGTGAAATATTCAATGTGAGCCTCATTCATTCGAATGTTGGCTTTGGGATGACATAGCATGCAAAATTAACTCGTCTGTCTTAATTGAAAAGGTTTCAGAAAATTTGGACTTAGAAAAAAAAATTATCTGAAAGAACTTAGAAAATAAAAATTATTCGAAAAAATTATAATCAGAAAATTTGGACTTAGAAAAAAAAAATATCTGAAAAGACTTAAAAAAAAAATTATTCGAAAGAATTATAATCAAAAAATTTGGACTTATAAAAAAAAAAAATTATTCGAGAGAATTATTTAATTAATCGATGAAATGAAATCATATTAATCAAATTAAAATCGTTTATACGACTTGATAAAGCATGTGAAACCTTTACAATTAATCGAGACAAAAACAAACGTAGTTGACTTGAATAATATACAAATTATTGGAAAAAGCTAGAAAAGAAATTCAATAAAACTTGTAAAATGAAATAATAAAAAATATTCAATGTGAATATAAAACTTCAAAACTGTTTAAATATGATTGTTATCCTTAATAAATAAAACGAGAATAAATAATTTTAACAACTTGAATCAGAATAATAAACTTGTTAACATAATTACGTTTTGTCTAATCATTCAAGTCAACTCTTTGAAACTTTGATTGCATGTCTTGATCAAAATTGTTTTTATCAATAAAAGAATAAAAATCTATCATTTAGCTATGCAGCAATATAATTGAATAAATTTAAAATTAAAATACAGTAAAAGACTTTTAAAAGCTGCATTTAATTAACAATTTGGTAAGTTGTATTGAGTATTTGAAATATTTGATCAAAACCAACAATCGTGTTATCCATAAATAAGAATGTGCATGCAGACAATGTCGCTACAGGGGGAAAACATATGATTCTTGATATTGGAAATGTTAAATACAAATATTTTTTCTGTATAATAATGAACAAGAAGTGTGATAAAAAAGAGATTTTTGTAACAAAATTGTAAGTAAATTTGTAATTTGTAACAAAATACCATCAATTTAGGAGTTACCTAAGGAAGGATTCTAGGACCCCTTCAACAAATAAGTAACCAATGCTTACAAAAAGCTGTATATAAATAATTTGGTAACAAAAATTTAATATACATATAAAAGTTCTGAATTCCACACAAAATCAGTTCATAGTGTTATTTATAGAGCAAAAGAATCTCTGGTTGAATATTATTATGGAATTGTAATAATATAAATTACTTTCAGCGTCTTTAAGAGAAATAGAAACTTTTCTCTTTTAATATATATTTAAAACAAGTATAAAATGCACTTGAATAAATAAATAAAAAAAACTGAATCAACATGTTTTCCCCATAACAAATTAAATAAGAACCAAGTTTTTCATACATATGTCTGCCAAATAAATTTAAAATCTTTTATTTTCAAAATAGTTGTAGTTGAATAAACAAAAGATAAATTGTATTTTATGCATTAAAAATTAATAAAGTATACCTTATTAAGAAAATGATATTGACTCAAATATTATAATATAAACAATATTTTCAGCAGATACATGTATATAACTACAGTAGAACCTCGAAACTTGCATATTTTACTAGTGTGTTCTGATGTGCATATATACATTAATAATACATTCTCTGTTTTGACGTGCATATATACATTTTAAAGGGTGGTGTTATCCCTTAAAGATAAAATAGATATTAACGAATCATTAAATTTTGTCATACACTTGCAAGTTAGATAGTAAAGAGGGGAGTAAAAATCGGAAAATGAACAGACCAAAAAATTAACTCTTAGAAGAAGCTCTATATTATTCGTAAGCAACTTTTCTTATTCATTGATACTTTACGTACCACCTGAATATCTTACCTCATGATTAATATAATATGTATAATGTAATCGAATTGTGAAAAAAAAGCGTTAATTTTCTAATAAACATCGATTTTTGTTGATGTCTATGTATGTATTTATTATTTTTGATAAACAAAACATTATTCTTCATAATTTGGATTATCCGGATTTCAATTATTCCGGATGCCTACCGACAGCAATTAGTCGGATAATCGAGGTTCTACTGTGTATTAATAATGCACAAGCCAAAAAATTATATTTCACTGAAGACGACAAACAATATTGTGTCGAACATCAAAGATTTTCATAATTATTTGATTCTTGTTTGAATTCAAAATTAAGCTAAATATTAAATAAATAATACGTTAAATGCCTGTATATAATATCAGAAATATATTTTTTGCCTCGCTTTGTATAAAACATGCTCTGCACTTACATTGTTAGAAATCCTCTGCAGCAGCTAGCAGAAAACAAAACTAATACATGAATCACCTCCGGAGCATCTGCCAGAAATCTCCAGTACTCGACACAATATCACTACTTTAGAACCACTACATAACTTTGTCTTTTACAAGTCTATTTGACATTTTACAATTGTCCGAGTAAATTCTCTACGAAACACACAAGACACGATTTACATTAGAGACTTTTGTGAACTTAAAATTGAATAAATAGATATGTGGAAATGCGCTACCATAACCTACAAAAGTATACACATTCATATATAAATTATACAATTGCTAATTGCATATATATAGATAAAGGATACATTAGCACTGAAAGTAAAAGGTTTAATTATAATATTGAATCGAAATTGGGGTCCTGAAAGAGATAATTATTACTATTCAAGATACACCTACACACTTCCCACATATCCATTTTTTTTACTTTTTACAAATGTTGCAGAATATATTTTTTATGTCAGATTGATCTACAGATTTAATTAAACGATTTTATGCACAATTTAATTAAAACTAATCAAGGATGTAATTAAAAACTCTTAATTAACGCGAGATTAAGTTCATTCACAAAAATCTCTTGACATTTGACGTAATACGTAATTAAAGTTAGCCAATGACAGCTGCCCAATCTTGTACAATTTAAAGCGCGAAATTCAAACAAAAAAGTTTGAAGTATTGTTATATAAAGTATATTGTTCAAAGTGAATAAATTAGCTTGAAAATATAATTTTTTCCAGTTAAAATTGTTTATGAAATTATTTTAGCTCATTAATAAATATTTGATTTCAATTTTATACTTAAAACGAGCTGAAAATATAAATTATATACCATAAGCTTTTATAATATAATAATAATAATTTATACAGTTATCGAAGACTCAAATACAATTTTAATTGCCAGAACATAATTATTACTAACTGAATTTATAAATATTAACTTGATTACTATCAATTACATTTTAAATCTAAATAAATAAATGGACATATATTGCATGGCATTGCACATCATTCTATAAAGACCATTTACATGAAATACTTGATTTGATAAAAAGACAATACAAAGAATATCATATGTAACTAAATCTAGTCTTTAAACATTTACACTGTTGTTTCACTTCTTCTCAAAGATACAAAAGCAACTTGCTTTTTACATCATATGATAATAATGTTATAATATTAATTCATTCTCGGATGTTTCATCTTCCTTATTACTTCAAGATGTCGACAGATTGTTTCAAATCTATATCATCAATAGGTGTGAAAAACTGTAAAACTGATTCAAAAAAAAGTTAAAACAAACTGCCATTATAATAAGAATATTTTATTTAGCTAGATTTACTACATTCATTGTAGTAGATTTACTCGATCCTTGAAGTAGATTTACTACACTCATTGTAGTAGATTTACTAAATTCATTCTAGCAGATTTACTACACTCATTGTAGCAGATTTACTACACTCATTGTAGCAGATTTACTACAATCATTGTAGTAGATTTACTACACTGATTGTAGTGGATTTACTACATTCATGGTAGTAGGTTTACTAGACTCATTGTAGTAGTTTTACTACACTGATTGTAGTGGATTTACTACACTCATTGTAATATATTTATTACACTGATTGTAGTAGATTTACTACACTGATTGTAGTGGATTTACTACACTCATTGTAGTAGATTTACTACACTCATTGTAGTAGATTTACTACACTGATTGTAGTAGATTTACTGCACTGATTGCAATAGATTTACTATACCCATTGCAGAAGATTTACTACACTCATTGAATTATATTTTCTACACTCATTGTAATAGATTTACTACTAGATTCATTGTAGTAAATTTACTTTATCTATTGTAGTAGATTTACTCGATCCACAAAGTACATTTATTACACTCATTGTAGTATATTTACTACATTCACTGTAGTAGATTTATTACACTCATTGTACTAGATTTACGTCTCATTATAGTAGCTTTACTACACTGATTGTATAGTAGATTTACTACACCCATTGTAGTAAATTTACTGCACCCATTGTCCAGTTAAAGGTACTCCTAAAGACTGCATTGGAAGTGGTCCACTGCAAGGATTGAACTTAAAAGATACTCAGGATAATAGGTAAACAAGCATGATGTTCAGGGTAAAAACTTGGAATCTCTTATAATGGAAAAAATGACTTGTAATAAAAATAATAAATTGTATTAGTACTAAGAATATTATTGCTGGCACAGACAACTTTAATTTGCCTTAAAGTATATTTATCAAAATATAATTAAAATGTATTTAAAACTTATTCTATTTCATTATAATGTTCATGCTCAGATATTTCATCTTCCTTAATTGTACTTTGTAGGTTAGTTCCAGTTAAAGGTACTCCTACAGTCTGCATTGGAGGCAATCCATCGTAAGTTCTAAGCTCAGAAAATGCACAGCATAATCCATTGCAGACATGAAAAATCTGGATAGACACATCGTTCTGGATTCTTGGAATTTCCTATAATGAAAATATTTAGGTTGTAATAATGATATGTTATATTACAAGCAAAATTAATTTAAAAAAGTATCATCATATGAAAGTAATAGTCAAACCATTCTTATTCTTGGTGGTAAAGTTCTTATAAATTACTTTATTATTATGAAAAATTATATTAATTCAGATCATTCAGTATCAAATTACTTAAATGCTTGTAATTATACTATTTTAAATAGTAAATATTAAAGAATATATTTATTTTTATAATGTAATTGAGTAAAATATTAAATATTTTTACATTTGCTTTTTGTTTATGAAGTTACATCTACTTTCCTTTCTTAGTTTTGCGATTTATCTATTGTATTTAAGTATCATAAGGAAAAATATAAGATACTATCTGATCTTTCATCTGCATGTGATGAAAAATGTTCACGTCTCCCAAGATTGTATAAAATGTTAAGTATATGTATAAGTATTGTATATATATTATTTTTCCATTCTTATTTGCAGTATAAGCACAAAATTATAGTTACCTATATTTATATTTCTAAAGATTTCAGCATTTGGAAATCAGCATTAATTATACTTGCATACTTCTATTAATATATGTATCAGAACTTGTCTTTTTATCTCTGAAGTACAGGGACAATCCTGTTACCATCCCGAACAATTATAATTCTCCAAAGTATGTATACTTGCAACAGTGAAATAATCTATAATAATATAAAATAAAAATTCAGTGAAATTACTGTTAATAATTAAATACTTTGTTTGTGAAACATATATATTAAACATAAATATTATAAATTAAATTATTAAAATATTTCAATTGGTCCAGTAAAGCTACTACAATGGTTGTAGTAAATCTATTACGATGAGTATAGTAAATCTACTACAATGAGTGTGGTAAATGTATTTCAATTGGTCGATTAAATCTACTACAATGGTTGTAATAAATCTACTACAATGAGTATAGTTAATCTACTACAATGAGTCAGGTAAATGCATTTCAATTGGTCTATTAAATCTACTACAATGGTTGTAGTAAATCTACTACAATGAGTAAGGTAAATGTATTTCAATTAGTCAATTAAATCTACTACAATGGTTGTAGTAAATCTATTACAATGAGTATAGTAAATCTACTACAATGAGTCAGGTAAATGCATTTCAATTGGTCAATTAAATCTACAACAATGGTTGTAGTAAATCTACTACAATGAGTATAGTAAATCTACTACAATGAGTATAGTAAATCTACTACAATGAGTGTGGTAAATGTATTTCAATTGGTCGATTAAATCTACTACAATGGTTGTAGTAAATCTACTACAATGAGTGTGGTAAATGTATTTCAATTGGTCGATTAAATCTACTACAATGGTTGTAGTAAATCTACTACAATGAGTCAGGTAAATGTATTTCAATTGGTCAATTAAATCTACTACAATGGTTGTAGTAAATCTATTACAATGAGTATAGTAAATCTACTACAATACAACTATATGCATTTATCATTATTTTTTAACTCATTTCATTAAAAGATATTTATGTTTTATGTAACTACAACTGAAGTTTAATATACTGACATTACTACTTTGATTTATCATTTTATTCTATTCTATTATCACATGAATTGACAAATTCACTGGAATTGTAGTTCGATATTTAAGTTTTCATATGATTAAAATTAAACTTCCTAAAACTATCATATATACTAATAGTATATAAAATGTTGCAAAACTTACTCGATCTTCCATTCATCATCTCTGTTTTTCTGTTTAATGTATATTTCTGGGAAGACAGTTAAATACAACAAAATCGTATGTCTCTACATAATTCATCAATAATATATTTCATTTAATATTTTCTTTCTTGTTTCTTTATAATTAAGCACCTGTAAAAAGAATATAGATTTATTACAAGAAACACTGAATAGTGATAATTTATACTAGATAACTACATCAATGTAACAATTTAATTTTAATAATTAACATAGAAATAAGTTTTAATAATAATCATAAAAATAGGAATTGATATAAAAAATATAATATATAATAGCCACATGACATTCCATTTGAAATATAATAATCATAATGATAATCAATTTGTACTTACATTGAGGCTATTTGAATTCGTTATAGTCACACCATACATTGTGCACGAGTAACATTACACTTTCATATATAGATTCTGACGTTTCTGTTCGCCTGATACTTCGAAGCGATTACAAGAGCATTTTCGTAAGAAGTAACGAGAATTGTCCGCCATTTATATATTTGGAGCTGTCAAAACGAGGCAACCAATCAGAAAGCAGGACTACATTGAACAAGAAACCAGGACCGCATTTTGAACATCTTTATATGTTGAATAAAATAAATATGTAATTTTTTTTTAAAGTTGGAAAAACACATTATTATAATAATTGCACTAATTATAATATCACTAATATATGTAATTTTACTTTAAAAATTATACTATGTGTATAATTTATAAAATTTAATACCAAATAAAATTTGTTCCATATTATTTAACTAATTACAATGAAACGGCTCAGCCGATCTTTACCAAAAACTAAAAACTATGATTCCCCAAAAATATCTTTCAAATAGTTTTTCAATTTTTAAATTCGATTTAAGGATTTTAGAAAAAGCTTGGGCAAAACCTTTTGCACATTTACACTAATTTTAAAAAAACGGCTTGTCCGATCGTCGCAAAACCCAAATTGGGTAGAGTCCCCATCAATCCACATCCGATGCTTTTTAATTTTTTTTAAATCGGTACAGCCGTTCTTCTGAAAACGATGACGAAAAGTCGAAAATTGTAGTACGTACTTACGAATAACTAAATTTTGCAATTAATTATACTATGTGTATAATTTATAAAATTTAATACCAAATAAAATTTGTTCCATATTATTTAACTAATTACAATGAAACGGCTCAGCCGATCTTTACCAAAAACTAAAAACTATGATTCCCCAAAAATATCTTTCAAATAGTTTTTCAATTTTTAAATTCGATTTAAGGATTTTAGAAAAGGCTTGGGCAAAACCTTTTGCACATTTACACTAATTTAAAAAAAACGGCTTGTCCGATCGTCGCAAAACCCAAATTGGGTAGAGTCCCCATCAATCCACATCCGATGCTTTTTAATTTTTTTTAAATCGGTACAGCCGTTCTTCTGAAAACGATGACGAAAAGTCGAAAATTGTAGTACGTACTTACGAATAACTAAATTTTGCAATTATCAGCTACATTATGCTCATTTACTACTTTTTTCAATGTTTATACAATAATATCAATGTTAAAAAACCATTTCCAACACCAAAACCTATCAAAATATCCCAAAACAATAAATTGCATTTTTAATTTCAAAAATAATTACCCCTAACATTTCAGCAGCCGGCCCTGTGAAATACGAGCGAAATTTGATTGAAAAATGTGTCTGCTACCCTAATAGATCGGCCGAAAAATTCGTATGAAAATGTATGAAATGTATGAAGGGTACGCGAGCTCTATAGACCGCGCGAATAGTACTATACTATCATATATATTCTGAGCGTGTCTGTTCGCCTGATACTTCGAAACGATTACAGACCCAGTTTACTATGAAGATTTTCGATCTTTCGATGTCGGCTCTTCCTATCATTGCGAAAGTATCTTTTTCGATGTCGGCTCTTTCTATCATTGCGAACGTATCTTTTTTAAGAACTTAAATTAATTTAAAAATTTATTAGTATCATATAAAATAAAATGGATGGATCTTTATGTATGATTGTAATTAGTAATAAATTAAATTATAATATTAATGGTATAGTATGCTATATGATTATTTTGCTTTTATTTATAGAGTATTTATTGTTGAATATTATATGAATGTTGCATAAAGCAACCTGAAATGTTCTTAAATTACACATATATTTTTTAATAAAAGAATCAAATAAATTATTTATACTTGTATTTATATAATTACAAAATATTACAAATATACTTTTATATAATTAGTGCAATCACAATGCATTAAATACATATTATTTAATAATAATAACATAATAATTCATATAAATACTATTCATTATAATTATAATTCAGTACATATATATCAAAGTTTCATACAAACTAAATAAACAGGTAGCACAAATCTAATGATTTATAAATAAATATACATTCATATATTTAATACAAAGTACGGCAACTAGGACATATATAATGATTAAAAACTTAATTTAAACAATTAAAAAAGCCAGCTTATGGTTTTATCTTGATATTGAGTAAAATATGTTTAAAATACTGAGCTTAGGACATTTCTCATGATACATAAATCAACAAATATATTTATATATTTGATTTACAAACTAATTGCGAAGATTAGGATACATCTGAGGATGTATAAATAAATATATACATTGGTATGTTTGATTTTCAAATAACCCGCCATAATGGGTCGGTGGTGCCATCTAACACAGAACCATATGAACCCGGTAGTCACTACGTAGTTCCACAAGAACTTGGAACAATTTTGCATAGAGGCGCTGCAAGCGTCGCACTTCACAGGTTGTTGACAGCTGTCAAAACATTAAACATGGAATTTAGTTCTTAATAAATATTTTATATTATATACATATTTATACGTCATTACTTTAATTAAAACAATAAATAAACTTCTTATTTAGTAAAATGAATGGTTGAATCCAATCAGTATCAATGGAAGAGAATAACTCGTTAATATATGGTTTAGAGTTTCAGGTTGAATTTTATTTACATATCTTAGATATAGTCAATGTGAGAATGTATAAATATATTTATTCTGTATCCAGGCTAGAGCCCTGGCGACTCCTCAAGCAGAAAGTGACGTTGTTAGATTTTTAATTGGGACACAAGTATTGAAACAATCAAATAACCAAATACACCTGGTTGAAGTTTCTGATGAAACTGAACAGTTGTCAACTAGGGTAATTAACTTTGAAACTTATTATTAAAATAAATAGTATTATAGTAATAATACTTTATAATAAAATAGGTTCTCCATTACAATATCATTAATTAAAATAGGTTTTCCAACACTCAATTGGTGAAATATGGAGGATGACATGTAGCCCACATAACTCAAATTTATTATCAACTTGCTATAGCACATTCAAAGGAGCTAATCCACAATGGCTAGTACAAAGTTCTTTAATATCTTTACCTGCTTTAAGAGATGATCTTCCAGATGAAAAATGAGACTCTTGAGGTCATGACGACCATGGACACACAGGTTTTAAATCTGTTTACACAATCCAATGTTTGTTGAATGCGGTAGTACTAATGAATTAATGCTCTCTTAGAAATATGGGAATGAAGTGAAAACAACAGAATTTAATCCTAGTGATGCAACTAAAATAGCTTGTGTTCTTGATAATTCAGTAGTTATATTCGATGTAGGAGAATCCTCATCTGTTGAAAGTACAAAAGTTACATTAAGCAATGGTAGAGCACAAATACAAATTCCTGGAAAAAGTTCTAAATTAACATCTGGTAAATGGAGTCTAGATCATCAAGGCAACCAAGTAAGCCACAAAGTCTAAGCATTTTGAATCAAAATAATTCGCTTCAATTTAAATTTCTTTTTCCAGTTTATTGCATTCCATGAAAGCACTATCAAAGCATGGGATATTAGAGATTCAAATCAAAATACCTGGACAATAGAAGGAGCCCACAAGCAAATGATTAGAGATATAGACTGCAATCCAAATAAGCAATTCCACCTTGCAACCTGTGGTGATGATGGTGCTCTCAAAATATGGGATTCTAGAAATAATCGCTCACCAGTTTTTGCAAGAAATGATCATTCTCACTGGTATGTAACAATTGTAATATTATGGTATTGAAATAAATTAATTTTACTTTCCTTAATTTAAAATATTCAAGGGTGTGGAGTGTGAGGTATAATACATTCCACGATCAATTATTATTGACAACAAGCAGTGATAGCAGAATATTACTAACATGTGCATTAAGTGTTAGTTCAGAAATTGATGGCGGAAGTCTTACAGAAACAGAGGAAAAGAGAGAAAGGTTTGAAAAAATGATAAAGTAAAATTTACAAAATACAACACCTGAATGATGCCTGAATATTCTTTTGCAGATTAAAAGAAGGTATTTTACAAACATATGAAGTACATGAAGACTCCGTTTATTGTGGAGAGTGGTCTCCAGTAGATCCTTGGACTTTTGCTTCTTTAAGCTATGATGGAAGATTAGTTATTTCTAAAATACCAAGAAAATATAAGCAATATTTATTACTATGATTTTAAATATTGGTTTAATAAAAATGTATTTGTTAATGTAATATTTATATATTTAAAATAAATCATGAGGGCAAAAATACCTATTATTTTGAAAACCATGTGATAATGCCACATGTCTTGAAATTTCAATAAAAAAAAGAATAAGTTATTAAAAATTGATGTTGATACTGTTTATTACTTGTGTGGCTTAATGTATATAAGATGTGTGGATTTGTCAATTCAATACATTAGTAGTAATTTAATCCTCATCATTCTCTTCCTCAGCCCCATTTTCTTTACTTGGCTCTTCTCCGCCTTCGTAGTTCATTCCTTCTTCCTCCTCACTGTCATCTCCAGCAACTTCAGCATTTTCAGCCTCAGCGCGCTCCATTTGTCTGGCCAACTCGGCTTCATCAGTTGCAGTAACAACTTTAGGCTACAAAAATATTAATACAATATACTTATTTTAAAAAAAAAGTTTAAAAATTGTGCAAAATAACTTACAGGCATTTGAACAGTAAAGACTCCTCCTAGTTTTGTGATTGTTTCTTGAATTTTATCAATAGCATCTTGCAAAGCTTTTAAACCATCAGCTTTCTCCGATGTAGATGTTGTCATAACTTGTTTTATAATTCTAAGTTAGTTCATAAACATATTAGAAATAATGAAGGTATTTATTTTGACACATACCATACAATGGTGGAGCAATAAGATTTATACGAATTGGAAGTTCTTCAGTAGAAAGTGCTAAGCCTGCAGACAATGCTTCTTTTACAGCATCAATTCCTTCATATCCATAACAAGCACATTCTACATCTGCTCTTATTTTTACAGCTTGGGAGGTTAATTTCCTTTTGATGTTATTTAACAAAACCTCTTTAGTCTTCTCATCCAAGCCACATTCAGCCAAAATACTTGGATCACTGATAAGAAATATATTTTACACCAGTTATTAGACTTGTGAAACATTTATTTTATTTAAAATCAAATTTCATTGGATAACATAAATATTAATTACAGAACTGCCTGTTTAAAGAAATCATATGCTGATGCTTTATTTTTATACTTCTTTTCAAAATGCCAGGCTGTTTGTTGATACAATTTACTTAATTGCTCATTACTTTCATAATGTAATAATTCTGCCACATGACGTAGAATAGAATTAACTGCCTTAGCATTTGCAAATCGTTCTGTGCATTTTGCTACATCTTCTGGGGAAACTCTTCTTTTAGACAAATCAATATATCCCCTGTACGAAAAAGCAAATATTTTGTAATTACAAGAATAGGTTACTTATTGATGAAGTATGAATAAAACTAATTACCTTTTTCTTTGTCAACTCTGATGACAACAACTGGCTCTGTTTTGCCAACTCTAATAAGTTTGTTTATGGATCTGATACGTCTTCTTGACAATTCAGAGAGCAATATCATACCTTCTATATTGTCATACTCCAATAAGTGCACATAAGCACCCATTTCAGCTATTGACCTAACATTTACCATAACTACATCATCCACCTGTTAAAATAAAGTCGACATTTTTGAACACAATTCCACATAAAATTTCATCATTTCATGTTATAGATTTTTTGGTGCAAAATTGCTAGCATTGTTCTTACCTCTGGATACTTTTCGTTGTAAAATCTACAAGATAGCGGCATTTTGGAGCTTTATTATTGCTAGCAAGAATAACAAACTAAACTTTTTAACTTAATATGGTAAAAAAATATGATCTTTAATGTAAAAGCTACAATTTCGCTGACATGTGGCACATAACCATACTTTTAAGCATCTTCTTGGTCTAGAGCCGCAGAAATACCAAAACTTTTCACGTTGGCAGCATAGCTTCAAATATCATCTTAAGAAACTTCATGCTTATTTGGATTAACTGTCAGAACTGTCAAACGTTGGGCAAAACGTCAAACGTTTGTGTCCTTTTGACTTTGAAATTAATTTTACTGCGATTTTTAAAGGAATTGTAATGCTACCCATAGGCTCAATTTTAAGTAAATTAGCAACAAGATCTTTATTTTCAAATACCATGATTACCAGATCCCAGGTAGCTGCTTTTTCTTCAGACAACATTGAAATAAAACACCACAAAAACGATAGTGAATTTTCTGTAACCCTTGGCAACGGTATAAAAACATCACAAATAAAACAATTTGATCGATCAATAAATAGTAGTTTCATTTTCTAGATAAAGCTTACTTAGAATACGTAGAAGACGATACTACAATTGATATTTTGCATGTTTTTGTTCCTGATGTATTTCGTGGCAAAAATGTAGCCAAACTATTATCGCAGGTAATATGTTAATCTACAATTAACACACACATTTTGTAAAACATCAAAATTCTTATTTCATACTTTTTTTAGGCCGCTCTTGACTATGTAGCTAATCAAGACAAGAAAATGATAATGACCTGCACATATTTCTCTCATTACGTAGATACAAAAGCACCTGAGTATAAGAAATTTTTACATCAGTAGTTATTTATTGTTGTCTTATTAACTGAGTATAAGAAATTTTTAATTCAGTAATTATTTATTATTGGCAATACAATAATAGCTTAGTTTGAAATTTTGTTTTATTCTGACCTAAACTAATTCAATACTAATAATAATCCATAATGGATGAAGATGAGATCATTTCAACATATCTATACTATGGGCGAGAAAATTTTTATCATGCTATGCAAGAAGCGGCTATAATAGGTTTATCAAAATTTACAAACCATAACATGTATAATTTATATAGCAGTATAGCATTAGTTATAGGCGGAAGAGTACAAGAAGCTATGAGGGAGCTTCTGCCCCTGGTAAAAGATAAAGAAACATCTCTTGCAGCTATTCTAGCTTTAATTTTTGCTCATAAGAAATGTTCAGTTATTGATAATGATGCTGTATCCAATTTGGAAATCAAACTGAAAGAGGAACGACGTAGTTCTAATTACTTAGCTATGTATCATGCAGCTCTTTTTGTTTTCTATTGTGGGTTTGTTGAAAAAGCATCAGATTATATTGATAGATCATTAAAACTCAATTCTGAATTTGATAAAGCCCATGCTTTAAAAGGCTGGATTTCTCTGCAAAGTCAATCAATGAACTATGAAGCTATAAGGCAACATTTTGAAAAATCATTGCAATTGAACAAAAGCTTAGATTCTTATCTTGGCTTAGTAAAATTGCAAGTTATGAGAAAAGAGTATGAAGCGGCTATTACAAAGTTAAATAAAGTTATTGTAAATTATCCCAATTCAGTAATACCTTTAATCGAAAAAATGTACATACAATTAGCAAAATGGGATTGGGATCAATCATTAGACACATCCTTACGAATTCTACAAATTGTGGTCGTAGCAAAATAATTTTAAATGAGACATTTAAACTAGCTGAATATGCTATGCAAATAAATTCTGCAGACCTTGATGTTGTTATAGAATTGGGTTACCAGTCACTACTTTGTGAAAAAGTTAATGAAGCTTCACGTTTTTTTCAATCAGCTACAAAACTAGATAATTGTTCTATAGAGGCACTATGTGGTTTAACTTTATGCCAATTGCTAGAAAGTGGTCCGAGTGATCAAGTTTGCCAACAAATAGATTTTCTGATGGAAATACATGGTATTGAAAATATTCTGCCTTTACTAAATTATTTGTCGGCTAAAGTAGTCAAAAATGATTCTGAGAAAGCCCTTTCTTTGCTAAATAAGTCCTATGAAACTCATTTTAAAGCTCTTCACAATTTACCATTTGGTGTAGATTATTTAAATAAGTTAAATCCAGATTTTTTGCTACAATTAGCTAAAGAATTTTTAATTCATAGTCCAAAAAAATCTGCAGTGAAAGATGATATCTCACAATCAACTAACATGCATAAGTCTCTTAAACAAGCAAGTAAATTGTTATTGGCTATTGTACAAGCATGTCCGGGACTAGTTGAAGCTCTATTTCAATTATCTCGAGTTTACTTCTTGAGTGGCGATCTACTGGAAGCCAACAATACATTACAAAAAATTCTGGAAGAATTGGATCCTACGTTTGCTGATGCACATTTACTTCGAGCTCAAATCAACATACAACAGATGTCTTATAATAAAGCAGCTCAGAGTCTTGAAATATGTCTTAGTTATAATTTTAATGTCAGAGAAAAGCCTTTATATCATTTGTTGATGGGTATAGTTCAGAAACAAGAAGGTCATTTGGCTGATTCATTCAAGAGTTTCGAAAAGGCCATGGAACTGGCAAGTGTTAAACAAAGCAATAAAAGCAATCTCAGCTTAGTGGACGAAGTCACACTCTATTTAGAATTGGCTGATGCCCACATGGAATCAAATCAACCATTAGAAGCTTTACGAATTTTACAAGTAATAATAATAATAGATAATCATATATTGATATGGGACATTATGTATATATTAATATCTTTTTTAGGAAGCAACTGATGAATTTAAAAATTCATCAGAATTTGGCCGGATCTTGATAGCCAATGCGGATGTTGTGATCAAAACTGCTGACATACAACAAGCATTAAATCTATTAGGAAAGATTTTACCTGATCAAGAATATTATCTGCAAGCTAAAACAAAAGCAGCCTCAATTTATTTGCATCATCTCAACGATCGCCAAGCTTTTGCCCAGTGTTTCAGGAAGTTAGTTGAAAATTGTCCCGGTCCTGATAGTTTTATCATGCTTGGTGATGCATATATGTCCATACAAGGTAATAAAAACAACACTTGCCTTTATTGTGTTTTTATAATATTTATATTTCTTTTAAGAGCCTGATCATGCTATAGAGGCGTACGCTCAAGCAATAACTCAAAACCCAAAAGATTCCGCATTAGCTAGCAAAATGGGTCGTGCTCTTGTGAAAACACATCAATATGATAAAGCAGTTCAATATTATCAAGAAGCAGTTGCTAATTGCCAAAATGCTAATTTCAAATTAGATATGTCGGAACTTTACGCCAAACTGAAACAATACGATAATGCTGAGAAAATTTTATTGGACGAGCTGGAAAATAATAAAAATGCACATGATGATATAGCTGTTTTGCAAATGCGTACTAAACAGTTGCTTCTGTTGTCCAGAGTTAAAGAAAAATCAGGAAATCTTACCGGCTCTTTAGCGTGTTTAAAAGAAGCTAAGGATAATCAACTGAGAGTGACCAAAAGGATATCAATGGACAGGAATTGTGAGTAAAGGAAGATGCTACCTTACTTATCCAAACTTTTTTTTATATATAAATGTATTATTTTTATCAGCATCATTATTGGCAGAACAACAAAGGATTTCCTCACAAGTATGTGTATTGATGGCTGAACATTGTTCTCATTTACGAGAAGCGAATCAAGCCATCGAGCATTACAAGGATGCCTTAAAATTTCAGCCAAACAATAGCGAAATACTTTCATCCTTGGCCAGAGTTTACATGCAGGTAATAGGATATCAATGAATCGATAGAACAGAACTATGAAAAATCTATAATAATGCTACTTTTTTGTTACAATTTCAATTGTAGATCAATAATTTCGATATGTGCGAAGAAACATGCGGTATCGTTCTTCAATCCGAACCAAATCATGAAGCTGCTTCGGTTATGATGGCTGATTTAGCATTCAGAAAAGTATTTATAAAAATTGCATATTATTGAGATTCGATATATCACATCTAATTATAATTAGATGTGTTTCTTTACCAGGTTGACTTTGAAGGTGCTTGTTTTCATTTTTCACAATTATTATTAGCACAACCTTTGTACTGGACGGCTTTAGCTCGGCTTATCGAAGTAATGCGCAGGACAGCTAGGTTGGAAGAAGCAGTACCTTTTATAGAACAAGCCCAAAAAAATTGTAGCAGATCCAACGGCGATTCGGGTAAAAAATAATTAGACAAATGTATTTTTCTTCCACTTGTATATATTTTTTTGCTATATTTTCAGGTCTTGCATATTGCAAGGCTTTGTATGAGTGGTACACAGGTAATCACAATGCTGCTTTAAGATATTTCAACAGCGCTAGATGTGATCCTGAATGGGGCCAGCAAGCTATTTATAATATGATTGAAATTTGTTTGCATCCTGATGACGATCCGACGAATGATTCTGCTGAATTGTTCGATGACGCAGAATATAATGGACCGAGGACCATGGCTATCAGGACCGCTGAGAAGCTTCTAAGAGAACTAAAGCCTCGAATAGGTAAGTTTGCTTGTGGTGTAACTTATACATTTTCTTCAATTTTGGCTTTTGCAGGTGGTTTAGACAACGAAGCTTTAAATCACAAACTCCTGGGTAATTTCTTATTGCTTGCTACTAAACAAAAAGCAAATGTTGATAAAGCCTTGCAAGAGTTTACAACCTTGGCATCTCAACACAAATACAGGGAACAAGTCGGTCCTATCTTGGGCATGTCCATGGCTCATTTGCTCCAGAAAAACACGAATAGAGCTAAAAATCAACTAAAACGAGTAGCCAAAAGTCCTTGGTGCTTCGAAGAAGCTGAATATTTGGAAAGATGCTGGTTGTTATTAGCAGATTGCTACATCCAATCGTCAAAATACGATTTAGGGAGCGAATTACTCAAACGAGTTTTGCAGCATAATAAATCTTGCATTAAGGCTTACGAGCTATCAGGATTTATTGCAGAGAAGGAACAGAATGTGAAACTTACTTTTGCAAATTATGAAAACGCTTGGAAGTTCGGAGGACGTTCGAATCCACAAATAGGTTTTAGATTGGCATATAGTTTTATGAAGAACAAACGTTATGCTGATGCTCTTGAGGTGAGTTATCATATTTTAAAAATACATCCTGATTATCCCAGAGTGAAAAAGGATATTATAGAAAAATGTCAGAATAATTTAAGGACATAGTAGTAATAATAACTGTAATGTACTATGCCATTTGGAATACCAAATTTACATAAGTAAAATAAATTAAATATACTTCTTTGTTTTATTATGACCTTACATATTAACTTTGATAGCAATATAAGTAATCACAGTTATTCGTGATACTACCAATTCCTTTGTTAAATGTATACTTCTATACTACTTTGTTAATATACACAACTTAAGAACAACTTCTGGTTATATACAAGCTTTAAATATCACTCCTTTTTTACTATTAGGTTCGTAATTTAATTTCTAACTAAATTATATGACCTGGTAAATGTTTTCCAATACATACGTTTACCTTTAGGGTATATAAATTTCTGTAGTTTAAATAAATGCTCCAGAAATATTTTTTATACTATTATACATATACAACTTAATTTCCTAGTTATCAAAATAAATATTACACAGTACTTTGGATCAGTTAAAATTGCTTGTAAAATATTCTATTCTTATAACTTAAAATTAATAATAAATACATACCTAGCTATTTGACTCAGGACATACATACGTTTAGTGATTTTATTGATTTTTACTTTAGTTAATTATTTATTTATACCGTTATTTTTTTTTTATATTATAGTTAATTTAAATAATTTGTGTTTTGATTGTGCGATTAGTCATTTTTGTATAAAATTTTTAATACTTGTATAATTTTTTCATCAAGAGATCGTATAAAATATACCAAAAGTTAGTAAACGCTAATAAAAACGCGTTGTACAGACTTCGAAGAGTGGAAAATAATATTTTTCTGAAGAAATCAACATATTAAAATAACAAAGAATTCAAATTCTATCTCTTGTAAAGATATAAATCCACATTGGAAGCCCATACTCTAATTCCTTAGTTTAAATCATGCTTTACTTAAAATCCTTACCTCTTTCTACATCATTTTGTTTCGAGAATATTTTTCACTTATATATTTACAGAAGTAGTGTAACTACTCCACCAATTAAGCAAAGGAATAAGCTGGAAACAATTGCTGGTGATGAATTTGTCCTTTTAATCCAATCCATTATTCCTGTACTGTATTTCTGATTCCAGTCAAGATCAGTTTTTGCTTGTTGAATTGCTTTTGCAGTCACTTCACTTGGAATGCCCATTTCTGTGGCATGTTTGTTTAAAAATTCCTCCAACTTTAAATAAAATATAAAATATAATAAAAACTGATTACAACTACATGGTTATCATATGTATATTCTTGGCCATGATATTTTGGAATGACCAGATTATGAAAAAAAATTGAAAAATGTTTTACCTCATCAACATCTTCCTTTGTAGTCAAACTTGAAGCAAGACCAGACACTGCATTATTTAGACCATTCATAGCAGTGTAACTAAAATATTTAAATGAAATATTTTAGAATAATATTATTAACACTTCAATATGTACATAGGTGTGATAATTATTCAGATATATAATTAGTAAAGTGACCAGATTTTTCCAGAAATATGATCAACTTGCATGGTACTATATGAACTTGCGATTTTATAAAATTTTATAGTTAAATGATTAAATACATACTATTTTGCTATTGCCTCATAGTTGTTCTTCAAGAAATCGAAAGCAATACGAACATTTTCCGGATTACCGGAGTAAACAGATGTAAACACAGAAGTTGCATCTTGTTTCCTAATTCCGGAGTTGTCTGTTATAGATTCTTTTAGGTATCTATAAAATTAGACACACAATTAATATAACAATAAAAATAAATTGTAAAAAATGTATTTTTTCAAAACGTACTGGTTAAGTTTTGTTTCATCTTTAGTGCAACCAAGGATTCCCAGAATAAGGGCCTGTTCTGCAGCAACATTTGCTGTTGAATATTTGTCTCTTAAAAAGTCATAATCTGAACCATCTCCGTGTCGAAGAGCTGTACAATATACAGTCTGACGCAAATTTGGAGAAACTCTGACAAATTAAAAAATATACATTATTCATCAATAAATTACCATCAGCAATATAAAGTGTTAATACTTACGCTGTGCCATTTTTAAATTCAGCAAACATTTCTTTAGCATTTTTGATACAATCTTCATTTCCTACTTTGCAGGCCCAGGCCATTGCTTGGGCACGATTGTATTTGGTAACAGGATCGTCATCAGGTTTCTCTTGGAATCCAAGATGCTCATATAAGGATTTCATAAGATTTTGCATGTAAGTCTAGAAATATTAATATTGTTATGTTTATTCTCTAAATCAATTCAGATTATTCAAGTATCATTACTTCAATTTCATGTCTGTTGCCATCGTGTCCAGCAAGTCTCTTATAAATATATGAAAATCCTTGGAAAGCAGATGTCCATGGTAAATAGCTGGTCTCATGTTGTAAATAATGGATGAGTTCCAAAGCCGTTTCGTACTCTAAATATTGATCTTCAGCTCTTGCTAAACTTAAGGCATCGTCCACGAGCTGAAAAAATGGATTAGACAATTATTAATTTAAATTAATATAGAATTTAGTTATGAGATGTGAGGTAATTAATACCTGTGCTCTGCTCAATGTCTCAATACCATCAAAGTTGTCTTCTCGAAGTGCTTCAGTCAATAATTTCCAGGTTTGCTCATCGTAGTTTACGCGATAATAACCTAATTTAAAATTGTTTACTTAAGTATATTTAACCAAAACAAGCAAATCTCTTAATTTATATTAATTATAGAAAATCATTACCCACCTGTTCCTTTGATATTGAATACGACCCATTCGTAGTCCTTGTTTGGCAAATCCAATTGAATACTTTCTGACTGGTCATCCAGGAATGCTTTTGGTTTTGTGCTGAATTTCTTTTCAGATTTTGATGTATAACTCAGAGGAATGTAGTATTTAGTTTGTTCAGCATTTTCTTCATTGTGACGTAGGAAACGTTTCTGTAAATTGTAAAACACAATTAATATATTGTTTTTTGACTAGCAATCAGAACTTTGCTGTAATAATTTAATAGTGAATTCAAATTTTACTTACTTGGCGTACTACTAATTTATCAGCTGCTTGTTCCACATTTATTACAGGATAACCGTTTTTGAATACCCAATTGTGCATTATTTTAGAAATATTCAAGGATCTGTCTGCAACTTCTTTTTGAATTTCGCTGAACAAATTTTCTGGCACCACAGTTTTGAATTCACTGAAAAAAATAAAATTATATGTCATCCACCTCTCCAAAAAATTTTAAACAATGATTATGTCACTTACTATGTTTTTAAATAATTTTTCAATGCTTTTTGGAAATTGTCTGTACCTACTATATGTTCCATCATTCTAATAACAGATGCTCCTGTAAATATAACAAATGTGGGATTTAAAATTTATATTGATTTATTTTATAAGTCATATTACCTTTATTATAAGAAATGCTATCAAAATGTGCACTTATACTGGCAGAACTGTCGACGTGGCTGGATAATGCTTTTGAAGTAGTTAAAGAATCCATTCCAAAAACAGTTTGTTGTTGCTCTACGACAATTTGTTCCATAAGATTCCATTTTGAATAAGCCTTTGGAGGAAGAAAAAACAATTAAATTATCTAAACATTATATATTAATCATTCTATTTTGATTTCCTACCTTATCGGTAGCATAATATTGCAAATATCTAGCAAATCCTTCATTTAACCAGGTGTGTTCCCACCAATCACAGGTTACCAGGTCACCAAACCACATGTGAGCCTGTTCGTGGGCTACAACGGTTGCAATTCTTTGTTTGGCAATCTCTGTAGAAACATTCTCATCGTATAAGAGAGCAGTTTCCCTATGTAAGAAATCAATAAATAAATCATTAATACAAAAGACAAAAATGTACAAAAAAATGTATGAAAGTTTACTTTAATACCTGAAAGTAAGAAGACCCCAGTTCTCCATAGCGCCTGCAGAAAAATCAGGAAGAGCTACCATGTCCATTTTTTCCATTCCTTGGTCACGATATTTATAGCCAGTAAACTCTTCTAATTTAACCAAAGTTTGTTTTCCAATATCGTAACTGTATTGACCCTGGGTATATGCATTTGGTCGGGCCCAAACATCAAATTCCTGATCAGGTTTTTGGGAAACACTTTTGAATTCCGAAACAACAAATGCAACAATGTAAGATGACATTTTGAGTGTGGTTTTGAAGGTGTCTTTCAGTCGATTAGGATGGTCTGCAACCCTGTAATAAAAAGATTAATAAACTCTTAATTATTAAATTCAGAAATCAACTAAACTAAAACCCAGTAAATGAACAAACTATTAAGCCATCTATCGTTGTGAATATTTACTTTTTGTTTATTTTGATAAAGTAGGATTTGATCATGTATATTCGATAGATATTTTAAGATAAAATTATTTTTTTTATAAAGTGGTATGAAAAATTATACATGAAGCAATTCTTTAAAATTAAAATTTTAACTTGAAGGAAAGAGGTACAATACCGAGAATTTTCAAGCAGTATTCTATACTAAAGAGGTCCCCAAATAAATAATATAAAACTTCAATTATAACTTGAAAAAGTATTCTTACACTTCATCTTTCCTCAGATGTTTCATGTTTCCTAAAGTTGCCATATGTTTTGGTCGAATTATAGAAATGTCGAAAGTTGCCTTAAAAAGAGGTTCGTCGAAGCATGGAAAAGCCTTTCGGGCATGAGTTGGCTGGAATTGAGTGGTGGCAATCCATCTGAAAAATTAAATAAAAACATATTAAAAAATAATATAATATTTAAGAAGTATCAAACTTACTTTGTTTTCCCGTCCTCGGTGTAAGAACTTCTGTAAAATCCACTCATCTGATCATTCATAAAACCAACATATACAAAAGAAATTTTATATTTCTTAGCTTTATCAAGTTCTTGTTCCAAAGGAATTGTATAGAATTCAGTGACATTATCATATTTGATTTGATCAACCAAAATTTTTAGTGGTTCATCACTATTTTCCTCAGTAAGTTTAATTTCACCCACTTTAATTTTCATCTCCACACTTTTATGGAGGATGATTTGCTTTACAGTAGTTTGTGGTAGGATCAAAATTGTACATTTGCCGTCAAATGTAAATTGTTCATGGTCGCCTTCTTTTTCTAGGTACGGAATTAGTTCAATTTTGTAATTTTCTGGAAAAATGTCTTTTGTTAAACGGTAATTTACTGCTTTGGTTGCTTTGACTTCTTTGTCTTCGGAGACTTTGTCGGATATTGGACTGGCCATGGAGAATGAGACCAGGACCAGTAAGGCACAGGTGAGCCTCAGGAAATTCATATTTGTAACTAGAATAAATAAAAATACAGATTATTTTATAATAAGTAATAAATAATTTATACAAAAATCGGTCCAGCAAGTTCTTCATAATTATTTGTTAAACTTTTTTTACCAGTTTGCACGGTAATACAGTTTATGGTCTGAATGAACATCACTACAGAAAAGTGTTTTAATTATAAAAATTGGAATAAAATTTAGAATAATTGGACTTGCCTTATAATGCCACCTTCAACTAGTTGAGAATACACAAGATATAAAACAACTGCCTAGTTAAAAATAAAAAATCATTTTTGCAGTTTATTTGATAATGTTATCAGTGATTATCATATACTCGTAAAATTAATGTATCATATTTAACATGTGGACTGTCCAGATATAACAAGGCTATTATTAGTTTTGGAAAATACTTTTGAATTCTAAATGTTTTTAAAATTCATATTAGTTTTTCAACACAAATAAAATTAATTGCCTATAGTAATTCTAAGTATGGTAATATAAATATTATTTTACCTATGTGCGAAAATAAAATTCATAATTCACTGATTTGTTTTTGTTAAATATATTTTACTTACGTACAAAAGTTTCATTCGAAATTTACTGCCCTGTTTTTGTATATTTAGAAATGTAAAAAATAAAGGGAATTTTATAATTAATCTAGAGAATATTTTATAAACAATTTATGCGATTCATATTTATTTGACACAGTACTAAAGTTGCAATGAATGGATTTGCATTTAATTTATGGATTTCTAATATGTGAAAAAAAAAAAATTATTTTATGGTATTTTATACTGTCAATAAATGTTTTCATAATTGTAAAAAGACTCAGTCAGAAAAATTGTGAAATATTATAAAAAACTAGTAGGGTGTATGGCATCGTGCCTTAAGGTAACCTTATTGAATGTTTTCTATTGAATATTGAAAATCTGAATTATTTTCGATATACAAAAAAAACAGAAACTAATAAACACTTCTCCCAATCATTACTAATTGAATGTTTTTAGATCATTCAAATCGGATTCTCAAAAACTCGATTTCTATTTTCTGCACTCTTTGCTTTTTATCTCCGTAACTGCTGGACCTGCACTAGCCAAAAACTAATCAGCACATCTCCCTATCAATAGGAATCGAATGTTTTTTGAACCATTCAAATCGGTTGATCCGTGCGCCCGAAAACGTGAACGAAAAAATGCGACACACAGAATACACACACACATCCATTTTCTTCTGAGGTATGCCAAAATGTTCAGAAACCTTCAAAACGTCGAGAAATGCAAAAATTTTCAATTCCGATTTTTGGAAATGTTCTAATAAGAGCTGACTAATAAATATAGGTTGCACAATTTGTTTTCTTCATTATAATAATAAAATATTAGCTATCTTAAAAACCATAAATAGCGTTGTTTAGAATTGTATATGAATGTACATTTATATCTTTATAATGCCAGTCATTCATTTAATATATTTTAAGCCAATTTAATCGCACGTAATAAATTTAATCCATTTGTTTTCTTATCATGCAACTAAATTTTTATAATTTAAGATTACATGAGAGAACAATTACTGAAGATTAATCGATGATATCGTCTGCTAATAAAATAACCAATAAAATAAGCCAAAAATTTATATCTATAAAGGATTATTATGACGGACAACCAAAACAATGTTAGCTTATCTTGTAAAATATTTATGGATTTTCTTATCATTTCGAAGTTTGAGACGTATTATTCGCAATTTTGTAGAAAATCCATGTGAAAATCATACATTTTGCATACTATGTAAGGCAATTAATGGTAAAGGAAAATTTCATATTTATATATATATATATATATATATATAATATATATATAATATATATTATATATATATATATAAATATTTATTTAAAATTGATACAGGTGAAGTGTCCAATGAAAACCATTGCTAATAGTTTAAAATTAATAATAATAATTAATATAATTGAAGGTAATAATACTAATAATTTAATAATTATAGGACTAATGCAGCCAAATGCAGAGTTTTAGTGATATTTTATTTATTTATTTCATTTATTTTATTTATTATATTTATTATATTTATTATATTTATTATATTTATTATATTTATTATATTTATTATATTTATTATATTTATTTCATTTATTTCATGTATTATATTTATTATATTTATTATATTTATTTCATTTATTTTATTTATTTCATTTATTTTATAATATTGAACTATATTTTATTTAAGAATTTAATATCGACTTGATTTCTTCTACACATTTGTTTAAATAATTGGTTATTTAGTTTTAAAATTTGCCCAAACTTTTCTCTCTTAATTAATAAGTCTAACATGGTCTCAAATTGTAAAGAAATTCAATATAAATAAGATAATAATAATTATTATAAAGCAAAAGCATTTTGAACCCTATATGTTGTTTATTAAATTAGTATAAAAATAAATACTAATTGAAAATGAAGAAAATTATGTAGTAATATATGGAAGTCTTATTATATTATAATAATATAATATTTATGAATTTTATGAATTTGTAAATATTAATATAGTTTTATGAATTTGTATTTAAATTTATTGCAAAGAAAATTGAAAAAATGATATTATAAATCTTATATATAGTATATTATACATTAGTCTTTATATATTATTAATAGGAAAAAATTACATTAATAGAAAAAATTACCTATATTAAATATTTTGAAAATATTATTAATATGTCAATTTTATAATTTTTAATTCAAAGTTAGCTTAGTTTTTATTAAACCAAAAACCAAATAAGAAAACTATTATTTCAGAATTAAAATTCAACCCTTGATTTTGCGGCGGAATTTTTTTTTACTCGCATGAAAGAGGTACCAAGTAAATATGCTTAGAAAGAATTTGATGTATAACTTTGAATGGAATACTGTATAAAATAAAAATAGTGTATTGTTATAAAAAAACTCACATTTATCGTATCCTTTATTCCAAAAAAATCTCGTCATGTGCACTTGACAATGACCAAAAACAATACTGGCCAAGGTGCAAAATGCTGTTCGCATTTAAACGTTCCGATAAGTCATTTTCATAGCCAATTATCAGAGATAAGGATAAATCTCTCAATAAAATTGACTATCATGACGTCGACATATCAAAGAATTATTTCATATATGATTTAAGCCCTAAAACATGATAAAAGCTTACTCAAAACAAATTCATAAACTTATTTTATAGACCTCGTCTGGACTAATAAACTTTCCATTTGATAATTTCGAAAGACCTGGTAAAGTTTTATTTCACTTTGATAACGTATGTAAATTTTAACTAGACGTAAATGAAAATTCGATATAGATAAATACTATGAAAACACGCTAATTGTTTATAATTTTTTAACGAATTAGTGCTTATGTCACAAACATAATATATAATACCATTTTGCTGGTAAAACACATCTTGACTATGGATTACACTTAGGTATTTTTTGATTTTTGATGTATTTAGGATTTTAATTCCTACTAATATTAATGAATGATTCAATAAGACATTTAACAGTGTTCATTTATTGAAAGTTTATTTAAATAAATTAATGGAAAATGCTATAAGTTTAATCAACATGTTTCAAAAATATTTTATAGCCCGGTGGATATCGCAGAATTTATTTTTAACTTTTTATTTATTTATCTACAGTAAACTAAATAATCCTATTAAATAAAAAACGTTGAGTAAAAATACAAATATCAGAAATTAAAATTTAGTAATAAAATTTAACAAACTGTACTCTCATCTACAGTGATTAATTTGTAAAAAAATTAAAAAGTTATCAGTATATAAATAAGAAAATAATAGTTAGTATAAAGCAAAAGCATTTTGAACCCTAAAATAAATACTCATTAAAAATGAAGAAAGTTATGTAACAATATATCGAAGTCTTATACAATTTTTATGAATCTGTATTTAAATCTATTGCAAAAAATTGCAAAATATATATTATAATATTTATATATTATTAATACATATTCTTGTAAAATATATATTTTTTATAAAATAGGGCAGCGTCAATAATGAAAGTAAAATACTAATCATAAAAATAGAACAAATGCATAAAAAAAAACTATTTAAAATTTTATTTTGCGTATTGTTATTGCAAAACATTATTTTGCAACTTTTTGGAACAGATAACGAATGCAAATTTTGACAAATATGATGTTAAATTAGTGCGTTAATATTAATTAAAATATTTTTCCAATTTGCATAAAAGCTACATTACAAGAAATGTTGAAACTTTATCGCATTAAAATTGTTAATAATGGTAATGGTAGACAATTTGGACTATTTTTTGGATATGAATTTTAAATTATATTCCCACATTTTTTTTCTAAAACTCAATTTAATTTGAATTCTGAAATTCTTTCCATATCTGTAGGACAATTTTCTAGAATAGTGAATTCCCATGAGGCAAAAGATATATTTTTTAAACGTTGATCATAATTTTATATATAATGATATGCAAAATAAAAATTATCTACAAGTCTAGATTTATTAAGATATTAATTCAGGAATTATAAAAACCCGAAGTGGTCATTATCATTTTTGTAAAAGAAAAAACCCTGATAGGTTTTTATCTCAATTGCTGAATATCTGCACGCGCCAATTCCAGATTCAAGTATCTATATCTATCAATCATTTTCCTATCAATATAAATCGATAACATAAATCCGAACTAGTTTTGATTGTTATATAAATCTAGATAAAATTAATTTAGACCAAGATACAAAAAAAAACGATACAAGTAGTTTAACACACAGTTCTAAATCGAAGATGGATTTCCTCCATTTTACATATATATTTCAGTCTTTTATTTAAATAATTTGTGTGGTGAATTTGACATGCATACATGTTGTAAAAATTAATATTATGTCAACGCAAAATACATAAACAATTTGCGCAACAATTTTATTTAAATATGTCTTCAATTGTTTTTTGCATATTTGAACTAATGTTTAAAAATATAGGCCAAGGCGTAACTCTGTAGAAAATTGATGCAAAAAATATACGAGGTTAATAGAAACGATGTGATATCGATTTATTGACAATATTTTAAAAAGATATTTTTATAATATATTGATTGATTAGGTAATTATTTATTTAAATTTATAATTACATCTTGACTATGGATTGCACTTAGGTATTTTTTGATTTTAGGAAAAATTCAGTGTATAATTTGCATAAATTTGAAAATCGTCTAAATTTGTGATCATATTACACAGTAATTATTCTTTATATTGTTTACCCAAACCAGTATCATTCTAAGATAATTTAATAATATCAAGTATTATTAAACATCAAGTTTTTTATGATAATCAGTTATCCAATATATTACTATAAAAAAACAAAGCAATAAAAATCGTATAATGTACGATTTAATATCTATAAGTTATAGTTAATCAATAGTTTAATTAGCAAATTATTACATAAGAACCACGAAGAAGATTTGCACTTAGTCGTTAAAAGGAAAAATTATGTGCATAGAAAATATATTCAGTATTAAAATTTATTTGAAATTTAAAAATGAATTAAATGGAAGTTGTTATTAAATAATTTTATTTAGACATCAGGTGATAAAATTTAAATAAAATTTATTTGTAAAAAAACTAATCTTCTAAGTTTAAATAATTAATTTGAAATATTAAAAAAATTTAGAAGCAAAAATGCACTAGTTTTTAAATTTTACAATTTGTATTATAAAAAGTTGCAAAACTGGATTAATGCATCAAATTTCACGAAACGAAATTTTACAATTTAATTTAAATTACAGCAATTATTTCAATTAATCAATTTTATATTCACACTTATTCAAATAGTTTAAATTATTTTCTTATTTTCATCAATTTTACGCAATTATTAATAAAATATTTGAAAGAATGAGCGCGTGTTGAGACTAACCAAAATACCAATAATACCAAAATTAGAAAATTATCAATATAAAACGGTGATTCTGGAGTAAATTCTTACATTCACATGATACCAAAAGTTGGTCAAAGTAAAATCGCCTTATAATTACATATTTTGCTATTTAATACCGGTTTCATTATAAAAGTTCTACATAGTGAGCGCTGGTTTCAAATATTTCACTAAAATCTCCACTTTCGTTAAAATAATTTCTTTTTTGTATCTCAAGCATAGTAAATGAAATAATAATTATGAGATTTACTAATTTTCAGACTTTTTTTTGAACTATATATTTTTGTCTTAGATTCTGATTAGAATCGTTCCGCGTAGATTCTGATTAAAATCTTAAACGATTCTTAAGACAAATTTTTAATTTTTGATAATTCAACCGTTTATGGTAGGCCTATAATATTTTAGTATGTTATTTCAGACTATAAAATTTATCATTATATAAATTTTGATTAAAATCGTGATTTTGTTTCAATATTTAATTATAAACAAAAGGCTTGGCCGATCATTCCCATCAACGCGATTCCCAACTCATTTTTCCGAAAGTTTTCGAATTTTCCAAATCGATTGTTAGCTAGAATGTAGTTAGCTAAAATGACAAAAAAATTACAGTTTTTTTGCTATGTACAAAGAAACGGTTTGGCCGATCGTTGCACAAAACTGATAAACGTTAGTCCTTTTCGAGTTACTTCTAATATCTTTTAAATTTTTGAAATTGGTTCAGCAGTTTTTCAGAAAACGTCGAGAAAAGGTTGAACTTGATACTTGGCACAAAACTGATAAATGCTAGTCCTTTTCGAGTTACATGAAATTGTTTTTAAACTTTCGAAATCGGTTCAGCCGTTTTTAAGAAAATGTCAAAAAAGGTCAAACTACGGCTCACATACATTTTTTCCCAACTTGGTTTCAATCGATTCAGAATGAATTAAACGTCGAGAAAACATAAAATTAGCAAATCTAATTTTTTCTCATACTTGGGTAAGTTAAATATGAGTAGAGATATGCCAATTTAATAAAAAAAACAGATTTATAATAGAATTAGCTGAATCGAAAAAATAATTATGATATTTAGGAATAAGGATTTTGGATAAGATTTTTATACATAGATAAATTAAATAACTATATCTCAATCTGACAAAAATAAAGTTTTAAGTTTGTGATTATTGATGAACAAATTGATTAGAGTAACATTAACCCTTTCCACTCGCAAAATGCGCGATTTACATGTATTTTGCTGCCGGAGCTGTAGCATCCGAGTGGAAAAGGTTAATATTAAAAAAAAGTTGTGCTATTTGCAACCTTTTTTTTGGCTAGATTTATATAAGAGACCATATTAAAAAAATGTTTAACGTTAGCTATATTGTCTTTATTTACTAACACAAAAATTACTGTAAAAAGTTGGAGAGAAAATCACCACTTGATCTAATTGTAAGTCAACTTTGATTTTTGATGACTAATTTAATATATATTTTTTTCATTATTTAAAAGAATATTAAACACAATATAATCACAATTAGTTCACTATGTAATCGGAGGAATATTGATATAATTTATATATGAAATTAAAAATCAACTGTTAATTAGTTAATTTTGTGCAACAAATTACTATTTTGCTTAATGAGTAAATAGTTAAAATTATATGATTATCATTAAAATATTGTGAATTTTTATATCGAATGGAAAAACAACTACTGAGTTGTTTTTTCCAACATGCCCTAGTAGTATACAATGTCCCTTTTCGGCCGACTATTGTAAATTAATCAAATTTATTGAATGTCCTTTACTGGACAGTTGTAAATAAATGAGATAATAATAAAAAAAAACAAAAAAAAATACTATTTTATCACAATGTCTTTTGTAAATGTTCTAGGCTGAACAGTTGTAAATAAGTGAATTATTCAAAAATATTACCTTTATCTAATACTAATTATTAATACAACCTAATATAAAAAAAAACGTACCACAAAACATTGTGTCCCACTATCCCACCATGGGCACTATTAAAAATTTAAATCCACAAATCTCCTCCTAACCCGCACTGGTCAACGTCTAAAAGTGCACTGTCAGAAATGCCAGCAAATTAC